TAATAAAGAATTGAATATATTAGACTTATATATTTCTACTTGACTAACAAGATTTTTGATTAAACTATCAAAAAATTTAAGATTACAAAAAATCCAATCTATTTGAGATTTATATTTTTTATATTACAATAATTCTAAACTAATTAGATTGGAAGAAAATCTTATTACATTAAATATTACTATGTTATTATAATCTTTAATTACTACATCTAAAAGAATAGTCTCATAGATAATATTTCTAAAAGATGGCAAATGATCATCTATAATTTTTACTTCTACAAATTTGATTTTCTTGATTGAAGATATTTCTTGTTTTTTTGACAAAGTCTTTCTCTATAAAATAGGTTGAGACTCTTTAATCTAATAATGCAAAGACTTTGTCATTTTGTAGGTTTGAAATACACATCTACTATAAAACAAGGTGAAGAATCTAAGGAGAAAATAAGATCTTTACTTAGTATTGCATATGATTCTAACTGCACAGTGTTGCAATATGTGAAGCCTTGGTAAAGAATGCACCGAGCACTTGGTTGCAGAAGGTAGAAAGAAAATTGCAATAAAAAGATTTTAATTCTAATAGATTCTTAAATAATTCCAATTAAATCTTAATAATGTTAATCAAGCTTTAATAAAATCCAAAGAAACTTCAAAGAAATTATGAAAGAGATATGAAGAAATCTTAAAGAAATTCAAAGAAAATATTAGAATAAAATCCTAAATATATCTTAAATAAATTCCAATCAAATCTTAATTTAATTCTAGTTAAAATCCTAGAAGTCTTTATTTAAATCCTAATTCAAAGCTTAACTAAATCCTAAAAAATCATATATCCTAAGCAAACTTTAAATCCTAATCAATTCCTAAATTTTAAACCAAATCTTAATGAAATTAATCTAATCCTAAGGCAATTTAGAACCTCAATATCTATCAATTATACTATTAATCTTATATAATATTTTACACATATTTTAATAACTAAGTTGGTAACAAGCACACAAAATTTGAAGAAGATTAAACTTACCAAATAGAAGATCAATCCTAAATTTTACTTAGGTTTTGGCCAACTTCCTACTCAAATCTGAATGTTAAACTTTTAGTGCCAATATCTCCTTCTTAAATCATTGAATTTCCTCTAAAATATACCTAAATTATTGAAAATCAAGTCTAGACTTTACATAAAAAAAATCACTTTAATCCAATTAAAAGATTGCTGAAGAACTTAAAAATATTCATTGACCCTCAAATTCCAATTTCTGAGACCTCAACCTTCAAAAACCTTCACACACTTTGATCTAACTGTTCAATTGACTTCAAAATTTTCATACACACTAAAAACTAGAACATCAACACATTATCCAAAATTCACCTATATACACACCACAAAACTCAAGAAACCCTTAATTTTAAAAACATAATTTTAATTTTCAAAATCTAATCCAACTAAGAACATTACTAACTTTGAAAATATTCCAAAAACTAAATATTAACTTGATTGATATAAAATCAATATTCAAAACTTTCTTTATAATTTTTTTTTCAAATTCTACTCTTAAAATCTCTATTAGAACCCCAAAGTCACCATAAGTATGTAGTTTTGTGCCTCAAGGTGTGATTTCGACCTAGATTGTCAATTGATCCTCTTTACTTATCAATATTTGGTAATTTGAGGTAATTTTTACTTGAACCTATTGATAACTTTCTTATAAATATGTCTATATCAATTATTTATCTCATTTAATTTGATTTGAAGCATTTATGTACCTACAAAGCAAATAGAAGCGTCTTCTCTAAAAAGCAGCATTAAGACTAAACCTTTTATTATCTTCCTATTATTTATCTTTATATTTCTATTTTATCTTTTTATTAGGATCTTCTATAAAAACACCCATGTTTTCATTTTTTACCATATAATTTTATTATTACATAACAATGGTCCCTATTGTAGCTGAAGAAACTTGTTTTTTTACACATTGTCTTCTTTGGCAATCATGCTCCTCATTTTGTAATTATGTTACTTCTTTGCACAACATTAAGTAGTGTGCTTAGCTTTTCTATAATATAATCACAAATCTTCTGGATGATGTTGGATCTTTTCTTGCTTTGTGAGAGATTTAAAATGTATTGTATCAATTTATATTAATTCTAGCCTTAATAAATAAGTTTCTAAAAATTTAAGAATTATTATCATTACTTGACTAATTCTTCTCCAACCAAGTCTTTGTTCTTGATGTCTTTCAAATAATCAATTATTTCATACAATGGCTTGAGCAATAAATTGTTCTAAAATTTTTTCTTTCCATATTGTCAATAACAAATCTTTGATGTAATCTTTCAATCCATATTGAAATTAATTGATAAGGGCTTTATCATTCCAGTCTATGTTACAAACAAGGTTTTGGAATTTAATAGCATATATAAAGGTTGACCATGAACCTTATCTTAAAAATAAGAATTTAATCTCTGTAATACTTTTTTTATGACTTTCTCTAAATGGGCCGTAAATACTTTTAAGAATGAATTCAAATCATAAAAGAATTGTGAATCCTTTTCTATTGAAGGTGAAAAGCATGAGAAAGCACTTCTAGATAGAAGTATACTTATGAATCCAACATGGATAAATCCATTAACATATTGAAAAAGATGCAATTTTAGATAGGACTTCACTTTTTGCAAAAATCTTCAAAATTTTGATTTTGTTCCATCAAACTTCTTGAGCATATTAATCCTTGCCTCCGTCATACTTATAGAAACAAAAATTCTTGAATTTAATTGTGAGGTCAATCTACTTGCTTTCTTCAATTACATAACTTCTTGGCATGGACTCTCAACTTCTTCCATAGGCATAGAAATAGTACCTCCATGATTCATGTTAGAAATACATGAGATTTATATTCTTAGAGTGTTGACAAACTCATAAAGATTTGCAATAGTTGCGAATCTATTCTCACTTCCATTAAGAATAGCATCCATAATCTTTCCTTCTATAAATAATTCAAATAAACTCAAAAATTTAAATTAGAAGAGGATAATCTAAAATCTCTAATATCAAATGATAATTTCTATAAAGAGAGATAATTCACTCTCTTTAAGAAAAAAATCAATATTAAAAAATAAGATTATTTGTTTAAAGGTGGGTAATCTGTAACCTTCAAAATAAAATAATAAAAGTAGAGTGATCTACTCACTTCTAAAACAAGATAAGAATAGTAAGTTAGCACTCTTGTCAAATTATTAAGGACATGAATCTTCAAGAAAGAAATCTTCAATACATTCTTGTATCACTCAATAGAACTAGAAAAGTCACTCAAAGATGATATAATATTAAACTAGAATGGCTATTGCTAAAGATAAAAAGACTAGAAAGTCTCGAAATAAGACCAAGGACTAAAAAAGTATTAACAAGAATGAAAAAGGCTTCACTCTTTCCTCCATATATATTCTTAACTAGGAGCTACGTGGCAATATCTTATAGGACCTTCAAAACGTGTTGATTTTGTAAGATACATATCTTAACTTGTAAGGCTAGTTTTCTACATATGCGCCACATAAGTAACTTGTTTTGTAAGCTATTAATATGTGGTTAACTTGTTGACCAAGTTTCTAACCTACCATTTAATTACAAACATATGTAAAGTCAGAGTAGTATCTATATAGCTTCTAAGAAGCTTTTCTAAAAAATATTATGAAATAAATATACTTTTATCTACTTCTAGTTAATCATATAGATAAATATTAGAAAAAATATGTATGTCCATGACAGTAATCTATTCACTTCTAAAAACAATGCAAGATGAATGAATTAGGATTCTTGTCAATTTGATAAAGAGAAGAACTCAAAGAAGATACGTAAAGAAGTGAGAAATGAATCAAAGAGAGATGAAAAACTAAAGAAATATATTTGATAAGAAACTAGGATGGCTATTGCCAAAGACTAAAAAACTAGAGACTCTTAAAATTAGACTAGAAGTAAAAAAAGAATTGATAAGACTGAAGAAAGCTTCACTCTTACTTCTATATATACTATCTACCTAAGAGCTATGTACGAAGAAAGGAGAGAGGTACATATATACAACTTCTATGCAATGTACTTGCAAATCATGACACACCCTTCCTACAAATATCCACTCAATTTTTTCATAGATAATGATTCTATGGTCTATAAATTTTGAGCATGTGCAATCCATCCTCTCAATGCTAAAGATCACAACGTCTACTTTTTTGCCATTCTGTTTTTCAATTACAAAACAATTTCAAAGTAATCTTCGTTGCAAGTGCAATAGTTTTGGATGTCATTGCTCCAAAATAAAAAATACAACTAGTTGGAATTAACACAAATGGCAAGTAGATGATAACTAGATAGATTTTTGGTGTCGTCACTAAGATAGTTGAGGCGGCTAGTAAAGAGGGCTAATTGATGCTCAAATTGGACTCAAAAATCAAGGTAAGATATGTCATACTTTAAGCAGACATAAAGAAAAGCAAAAATATCTATTACATGTGGAAAAATTTAGTTATTTTCTATAAGCTCATAACACAAACCATGCTCACAAACAAAGTTGCACAATCATAAGTACAAGGTTTTTGTGACATCTATGACACGTGCTGCCATTTGGAATGAGACTCTTTAATATACACAACCAATCATAAGACAAAACAACTACAAAAAATTAATCTCTACCTTGTATGCTTTGCAGTTCAGATCTTGGTCTCCATTGAGTTCAATTTGGTCATTGTTTGCATCTTCAAATAACTTGAAAATTGACAATACTTGTTCACTAGTCGGCACAAATTTTTCATCCTCTACATTGAACAACATGTCACTAATAACCACATTCACCTTGGGAGGAATACTATTTGGGCACCTCGCTAGGCTTATTCCAGGGAAATTAGAGTTTTTTCGAGAAAAGCCGTAATTTAAAGAGGCCTGGTCATTACTAATCAATTAATTAAATAATTCAAAATATTACATTAGGGAAGGGGGAGAGATGTATGTGCGCGCGCAGGTGCGTTCCGCTGCCTCTGTGTTATTGTTGCTCACAGACTTCAAGCTCCTCCTCCTCCTCGCAGCGCCTCCTGCTCCTCTCTTTCACAGAACAGAAACATGACTGGCGATTCAGTGTCCGCGCAACCCACGGGGTCTGCCAAAACGCCAGCGGATTTTCTCAAGTCTATCCGGGGTCGTCCTGTAGTTGTCAAGCTCAATTCTGGTGTTGACTATCGAGGTATGCTTGCTCTGTTCCTCTCCTCGCGTCCCTTTCTCTTCTCTATCTCCCCTCTCTCCATGCTTTCGGACGCTGATATCGTCTCCCGGCTTTGCCATCTCCACCTGCCCTAATTCTTGGCTATTCTGTCCAATGCTCGTGTCTAGGGTTTTGCTACTACAATAAGGGGTACACCTTCGCACGATCTTGGTCGTTTGTCGAAGATTTTGTTACGCGTTGAGTGATTTGATCTTCTCCTTTTCGTATAATGCGACTAAATGTTATTATAATGATTTTTATTTAATTATTACAGTTATCTGTCGTGGAATCATACTGAACAATATACACACATGCCTTCAGAAGTGCCGATCCTTTAAGCATATCGCTCCCACGCGTTTATTATCTGATTCTGTAGTCGCTGAATTTTTCGCGGGTGTTGTTGACGAGGAAACATATCAAGTGGTTTGAAATCCCTCACCAAAATTCCCGAAGAGGTCTTTCAGATCGGGCTTGGTTAGGCGACTGTAGATTAATGCCGAATTAGGTTGATAACTATGGTGTAAATTTTTAAAGTGATTTTTGAATCCAGTTCAGCCTGAAAATGACATGTGATGCAGTCTAAAATTTATTTGATTTAAGCATGCACTGACTTTTGGTTTAGGGTTTATTATTATACGTTCGCGCTAGTATCTTCGTTGGTTGCATTATCTGTGTCTCGGCATTATGGTTCAGTTTTCTGTATTATCTTCTTGCGTTTTTATTATTGAAAACACACTTCTCCGAACAATGGAGATAGTCGTTCTATTGCATTGAGAAATTACGCAACAATGCCTGATAACCTTGGATAAAACAGCTTTTGCTAACAGCTTCACTGTGGTTCACATTTGTAGGTGTTTTGGCTTGTTTGGATGGTTACATGAACATCGCCATGGAGCAGACAGAGGAGTATGTAAATGGACAGTTGAAGAACAAGTATGGTGATGCCTTCATCCGGGGCAACAACGGTGAGAACATGTCCCACACCGTTTTTTAACCGAGTCGACTTATGTTTCTGCCAACTCCCTCTTACTTCTGGTTGTTCGCTCTGGAACCTCTGTTCTTGTTCTTTAGAACTGTTTCAGTAGTTATTCTGTAGACTATGCCGTCCTGTAAATGCCACCTGCAATATCTCACAGCAATCCATAAATGTATTTCAGTTTCTACTAGCTTGAAACGGATTTATTTCATTCTCTGCAGTTCTATATATAAGTACAACGAAGAGGACGCTGGGAGACTAGTTCTGAGGAGTTCACGGTGTACAAGGCTGGGACATCGGAGGGGCCGTTCCCTGTGCTAGGTTGGAAGGTTTGAAGACACGACAGGGGGAGATTACATCTTCAAAATACCACGTTAACTAGCGCTTTGTGTGCACTCGCGAAGAGAATACATAAAGGCATGACATGCCTAAGACAGTGGATGTGATATTATGCTGATTGCTAGCTAGTGAATTGTTAGAGTTAACCACAGCTTGATCTTTTTTATGAAGCCCGTCTTACAAGAACCTTGAATTGTCGGATGAGCCCTGCAATGTTTTCTTTGTATTTTTGAATAGGCTTGTGCTTCGATTCAACTTGGTGATTTGGCAGAAACGTTGGATGGATGAGATGTTGCACTATGAAACTGTTTACAGCTATACTCGGCATTGGAATGGGATCGTAGCAGGACGAGTGCATTGTCTCTGTTAAATGATATGCCAGCGTGTGCCTAAGTCAGCGCCCATGACAGTCGTATGATGAATTCTTCGCTGAGAGGGCCATTTTGATGCAGGCAAAAATTCTGTAAAATATTGATGTTCTATGTATTTGATGGATGTTTTTACAAGCCTCTTAATTCCTTTGTGTGGTACATCCATATTATGCTTGTTTTGAGGTTGTATAATAGGATTTAATCTGCAGTAAGTGCATAACCTGTTGTAGGTGCTAGAACTGTCGCTGTGAAATCGAACTTCTTTTTTACTCATTCTAAAGATATGTATTTAATTTTGTGAAAGAATATTTACTTTTGAAATTCAACTATAGCGGGATTAAACGCAATAATAGATATTGATTTAAGCATGTGCTTTAAATTGCATATAATTTTTGGAATCCTACAAGTATGTCAAAATATGGGGTTTTGAATCAGAGAATCAATTGGAATGTGTTAAAGAAAAACTTGGATCGTTATTAAATTTCTTACGACGATTTTATTAATGCAAGATATATGTCTCAATGCATATATCTTTAAACACACACACACACACATTCATGCACTTGTAGTTCTAACACAAAATGTGATGAGCAGAAAATTGCTTCATGGTATTCAACCTACTCAAATTTTCTATGTACGTAGTGAAGAAGAGAACTAGACATATTCAGAAACATACACAAATTTTGATTTTGATTAGTTTACAGTATTATTTGCACAAGCGCAAATCAAACTGATATTGAAGGTTCAACATTTTGTAAGGAGGCCAGATACAAGCACACAGTAAAGAGATGAAGTAATGTTGAAAGGAATAATGAGAAGAGGAAAGGAAGTTGGGGAGGGAGAATCATGCAATTGCAGTGCAATGAAATGAGAGTGCAGAGCGAGGCTGAGATTGCGCGTGGCCCAGTCGAGGATTAGGAATGGGAATAGGATTAGGAGTAGGAGGAGGAAGCAACGGTGAGCGAACGAGCATCCTACGGTGGGCCTCGCTTTCGCTCAACTCGGTGGGACCCACCATGTGTGTCCAGTGCACTCCTCCTCCCTTGCTCTCTCCTCCTTAATGGCAGCTGAGAAAAATGCAGATAACTAGAAAATATCCATTTTAGATAACTAGTATGCCTCCCTGCGCTGTTGCGAGGTCTCTTCTTATTTTTATTTACACATATACATACATCCATCCATACTTACATACATTTTCGCTGCTCTGCTCTGCTCTGCTCTGCCGGCTTCTTTGCTGGGGTGAATCTCTTGTGCAGCGCCTCTCGCAGTTTGTGTGACATTGCTGTGTTTTCCCAGACGTCCAGACTTGAGCAGTAGGTGCAATGGCTGTGGCGGCCGCAGCAAGAATGGCCTGGCAACCTGTTGGGTCGATTTCACCTACCATCGTCCCTGTGCGGGGTGTGTTGCCTACTTCCTTATGTGTAAACCCAACTGTTGCCATTAACTCCCTTGGTTGCGGTGGTCTATCTGCGAGGAAAGTGATGAATGCCGAGCCTTTAACTCTCCACCGACTACTAGTATATCACCGTACCGAAGTAGTTGGAGCGGGAGGGTTTTAGATGGGTTTTGGGTTGTATGCATGTTTGAAAGCTTGTGTTCGCTGCACTGTCTTGGCAATCGTGTATTAGGAGAAACTGTTATAAGTGAACTTGCGAGATATCGCTAATCGTAGTTCCCTGATGCTTGTCTGTTGGGTTTAAAGGGAGAAGTGGGCGGGTGAAGTGCATGAGCGAGAATTCTGGCAGCATCAAGCGAGGTGCCATTGGTCTGCAGCGTTTTAAAGAGAGTGCAATCCCTGGCATGTATTGGGGTGATAGGTAAGTTTCAATCTTCTTCTTCTTCTTCTTCTTCATTTTTTTTTTTTTTTTTTTTTTTTTTTCTGATTGTTATCCACTTCCTCAAAGTTCGTGAGACCTCCATGATTCTGTTATTGCGTATGTCAATGACTGTTAGTTCACTACTCGCAAGCTGGGACGTATCTCAACTACAAGACTGTCAATTGAGTGGCTATGTAAGATTTCTACCAGACAGGCTTGACGGGTATTACTTAGTGAGTATGACCTGGAAGAGATGAGCCGAAACGGATGCAGTGCAACGATTAAAGGATGAGAAGTTCCTTACCCAATCCCTTTTTGCAATGAATTCTAGGTTTAATATTGTAAGGTATCGCGTGCAGGACTGAAATTGGAGAGGAAGTTGCAGTCAAGTTCACAACGGGATCAGAAACTGTGAGCCACCTTGGGACTGAGCACCGAGGTTTTCTTTGTAGTGTTTGATGTTCTTCGTCGATGGGAGTCTTCGTGCATGTGCATGCACATACTGTGGTTTTCCGACTCAAGATTTGCAGGTGTACTGAAACTAGTGCGACAACAAAAAAATTCAACAAATACAAGGTTCATATGTCACCTATGGAGTCACACGAACCCAAAACCGAGATGTGTGACTTCTGAATTGAGACTGTAAGAGATCTGCTGTGTGCAGGTGACTGTCTCTGCGAATGTGGGTGATAACCTTCTCAAAGTAGCGGAGCAATGCGGAGCCATAGTTATCTCAGATGTGAGATCATTTGCTTTACAAAAAATCCCATTTCCAACTTCCTGCCTCAAAGCTTTTCACCTCTATTTCCACCATGAGCTCTGGGATTTCATACCCCACTTTGCTCCTTGGTGGTTGTGATCTTTCTGTGTTGTGTGCAAACGGAGTCTTATGATCACTTTTGCGATTGAATTCTTTGGTATACATAATCTGGACATTTCACTAAGTGTGTAAATTCTACACAGGATTTTTGCTTTGAAGGGTCGTGTTGTCACTGCGAAATGGAAGTTAACGGTGGCGCCGTGGAGGTACACATTTCTTTCATAGTTCACCAAATCCAGCCTTAATGTGGGGTGGAGATAAATTGTTAACTAATATGGATCAATTTATTGACCCTGGGTACAATGTTATTGACTACCTTATTTACAACATCGAATGTCGTTATTCCCAATGATAGTTTTTTCTGTCTATATGTCCTCAGGTGGGTTATCGTGCTGAAGTGAAAGGAGGGGAGCTAGTTCGCAGCTGCCTGTGTCCAGTAAGTGTGTCATGTCTACTTGACGAACTAAATTCTCAAGAATCATTGACGATAACAAAGTTGCTTGTAAGAGGCTGAAATTAGTGGGGTGGGACTGACAGGTGCCTAGCGGAAGGCGCACGGTGGAAGTTAACATCATCAATAGTGATGATGGGTGGGATGATCTCATGGTGTGAGGGAAATTTCGGAGAGGGATGCCCTGCTCCGAAATACTGGTTGTTCACAAAGCATCCAGCTTTTGGAATTAAAAGCATGTAGGGTTGCATTGTATTTTCATGCAGTGGCCTTGTAGTCCAGCTCAATGCATCACACTACAAATTATGACTGTCTAGATAGTGCTTGCGAATAGGAGGTAAGTCACGGGAGGGTAATGGAAGTTGACCAGTATGAAGAACCATGTTCATGGTATTCGTGAGGTCTGGGTAATCAGCTTTGCTACCACAAAACACTAGGATAGTAGCCGGTAATGAAGATTCCATATCATTTTCAGGGCACCAAAGCACGCCGGCAATCCATGGTGGGTTTCGTAGTGGTACTGTGGGACTTGGCATAAGATCTTTGTACCTGTGTTCAAGGATATGTGTTCATTTTCAGGGCAAAGTCATCGACGGCATCCGTTAAAAAGTAATGTGTGAAAGAGTTAATGCGACATAACCATGAATCTTATCACCAGCTGATCAATGTGTCATTTTGCATCCCGAGGCTGGAAATACCCTTGCTGACAGCCATGGCTTTTCATTTTGGTGATACGGAACTTACCCGAAGTAGCAGCCTCTTGACGGCTACCTAACAAGAATTGATGGAGTTACAATTTATTTGTAATTAAAAGAAAAGGTACCTATATCTTAAATAAAAATAATATTTTGAATTAATTTAAAAAGTAAAATATGGTTTTAAAATAATATTTTTTATCCTCATAAAAAATTGAAATTAAACATTTTAATTTACATTTAAAAATCCAAGTATTTCTATGTAAATAGCGTTTTTTTTTATCTTTTATCATTATAATAAATGAGATTTCAAAAAATTAAACTATTATAATATACTAAAGTCTTAAACAAAACATAAGTATAATGTATTTGATTTGATTTGAAGAAGTGTTTAAATTAAGATTGAAACTCTTATTTAAGATATTTATTTTTAAGCCTATAAGCTTATGTAGCAAATAAGTATATATTAGATTCTTTTAAATTTCAGTTATTTATAGTTGAACTTGATTTTTGTTATGATAATTTTTTCAGTTATATAAATATAAATATATATATAAATATAAATATATATAAATATAAATTAAAAATTTAGAAATTCTATTCACTATTCTAATTATTATTAATTCTAATTATTTCTTTAGTTACCTATTATAAGATATAATCAAATTTATTCTAAAAAAAGAAATAGCTTGTAGAATTTTTAAAGTATTTCTTGATATAAAATCTAATGTAATATTTAATCTCTAACATACTTGATTTAGACTAAGATTTTTAATCTCTATACCTTTAATGACAATTAATGCTTCTTTTATGACAATACTTTTGTAAAAACATATGCAACTATACATTCTTTTGCTTAGTACTTTATAATTAATTTTTAATTTTTATCAAATAAAATAATAATAAATATTAATTTTAAATTTTACAAAATATAATTTTAAATTATTAAAAAATCCAATGAATTATTGGTTGATTCGAATAGAACACTTTAATGCATATGAGATTTTTTTATGTACTTTGCTTTAAATAGAAAATACACAATTATAAATATAAAATTTCATTATTACATTATTAAGATTTGAAACAAATATTAAATATCATTATTTACATGTTTTTTGAAATATATATATATATATATATATATATATATATATATATGTTTAAATATTCTTTTATTAGTTGTCTCATTTGTTGCATCTCTTTGTTACTTAATAACTAATAACAAACAATATTAATGTAATCTTATGGTACATGTGTTGATTCTTGTGTTTCATTGTTAATGAAAAATTGTTGTTTTTCTTTTTTAAAGATATATTTTACTTATTTGCATTGAAAAATATATAACTTCAAAAACACCATATATCTATAGAAAAGTCTTTTAGATGTTTTGTAGATCTAAGATGATGTCTTTTTTTGGTTATAAATATAGAGATAAGATTAATGCTATCTTTACTCTTATAAGCATTTTAAAATTTTTAAAATTTCAGTCTTATTTCAATTTTATTCAGCCTCTTTGTACATAACTTAGAATCAACCATTTCTAGTTTCATATTATTTTAGAATTATATAAGTTCTTTGATCTTCTTTCTTTTGTATACATGTTATTATTATTATTATTATTATTATTATTATTAAATCTACTCAAATTCAAGCCCTTATAAATAACATATTCCAACCTATCTATAAAAGGATTCAATTGTTTTGTTATTCTATTCTATTTTCTAAATTAGAATTTAAGATATTACTAATTTTCATATAATGTGTTTTTTTAAATTAACCTTTTTTTCGAATAATCACTATATTTTTCTTAAATAAATTTATTTATAGTGCCTAATCTTAGTTTATTAATTTTCTTTTCTTATTCAATTTATATAAATATGTTAAACCTGTTTAAGTTTTTAAAGTGCCTTCTTTAAGCATTGAGCATGTAAATGAATATCTTCTATGTGAAATCATCAATTAAAGTTACAAAGTAGCAAATTCTACCTATATATACAGATTTTATTGGTATGTTTATAAATATAAATATAAATAGATATATGCATAATAAATTATATAAGCTCTTTTCTATCTTAGTGACATATGTTATTTTATCATTTAAAAATTATATTTTCTTTTTTATTTCTTATTCTATCTTTTATATAACCTTTGCATAAGTATTGTTTTTATATATAATTATTTTGAATAGTATAGACTAATTTAACCAATTTTTTTACATTTTGTTTTGCATGAGTGTTGGTTAGAAAAACTACCATTAATATATAAATGCAAAATCTTTGCTTTGGAATTTTTATTATTGCTTAGTTACTTTATGTATCAACCTTGTTATGACATAATTTATTATACGAAAAAAATATTTATTTATTGAGAAATTATAATAAGTATCTAACTAACTTATAAATAAGTTTATTACTATATATTTATATTTTATCAAAAGAAACCATAAATGTAAATAGATTAATATGTACTTTTACCATTTTAATGTAGGTTAATTATCCTTGGATTTTTCTTTCGTACATCAATTGTTTTTTATTATTTGATAATATTGGATGGATTATTGATTTTGATAAATTTACAATTATCCTCTATAATTTTTTTTTTTTTTTTTTCATTTGCAACATCTCATGTAAAATATATTTTTATTATTTAAGTTTACTCTAATAATTATGAATCAATGTACCCATGGAAGTCTTTTTTAATGTTGAATTTGTATCAATCAAAAGAGATTTTTGTAATCTTCTACCATCTTTTAAAGATCCAATATACCTAATATAATCTTCATTTTAAATTTCATAAGTTAAAATTCTCTCCATATAGGTCTTAAATATTCTCAATTTTTATTTTATTTAGAATGTTTACATGTTAAGAATTTATTCATATTTAATCAATATGTAAAATTAAGACTTTTCTATAAAAAAATAGAAATTTAATCTTTTTGACTTTTTCATATATATTATAGTTTGAAATTATTGATATTAAAATCTTTGATTAATTTTAATTGACTTTATGTAATCTTAATTATCTCAAACCAAAAGTAAACTTAAAATTGCTAGTTTTAAAAGTTGTTTTAACACTTCAAAACATACCACCAAACTACAAAGTCAATAAAAAATTTAAATCTTTCTTTCAAATATTAAAGATTATGTTAAAAATAAAAATAAAAATAAAAATAAAAACATAATGTGTGTGTATATATATATATATATATATATATATATATATATATATATATTATTAGTACTTATTTAATTTTAAATTTCCAACTACAAATATATTTAGCACTCAAAGTTAGTTGTTAGCATGTTAGTAAAACAAAAACACAAATATGACTCATATAACTTGATTTTAAATAAATTTTCAAAAAAATAAAAAATAAAAGCTTTCTTCTAAGACCCTTAATAATATTGACATTACACACCAATGTAGATTTAGAAGGTTTACAATAGATACCTTTAAATTCAAAATACTTGTGAATAGATTTGATCAACATGTAATAAGACTAATTCTATCTAATTACATGAAACACTTATTTTACTTTTTATTTATTTATACTTTAAATTTTATAATTTATTATTTATTATCTTAGTCATTCTTAATCATAATTACTACTACAATGTCTAGCTATCTTTTGTTTGTAGCCAACTTCACTTATTAAATGTTGTTAGTGTTGTTGAGCTAAATTCAAGATTGTTATCTAATCTTTGACACATATTCAACATGTGCAGTATAGTAGGTTCAATCATCATAATTTAGGAAATTTGTAGTATAATGTGTAAACTTTTTAAAATAAAAACATCTAGCATTTTGACAATATCACATATAATTTGTGTCCATATTAATATTTTATTGAATAACATTGAGCTTTATATAAAGAATAATAATGATTATTATTATCATTATCATAAAAGTATTTTTTTTGAAAATTTTCCATCTTGTATTAAAGAATGTGGCTAAACAAATGTGGTTAAAACATATAAATGAATAAGATCACACATATTTTTTTCTAATGATGTTTTTTTGTGGTTTGTATATACATTGTTGCTAATGGTCATTTTTATCTTTTTAGACAATTTTGATTTACATTATGAATAATCAAGTATTTTTATTTTAAACCTTAAAATATAAATAGAAATATTCATAAATACTACAAATTATTTTTAAAGTATATTTGTGCAGAATAAATTATGAGTATGTTTGTATTTTTTCAACATTTCACTTTAGCACAATGATTTGATATATTTTGATTCAAATTTCAATTTGATGCGATCATTTGTATTTACGAAGGTAAATAACGCCCAAGCCTATACTAATTACGGTAATACCCATCACATTAACTGTGTACAGAATAAGTTTGGCCAAGAATGCGTGAGGACCAAGCAGTTACCAAAGGCCATGTTTTACTTGACAAACAAGCCTGGGAGAATCAGGAAATCAATTTATGCACAACTTCTTGCAACATAAGTTTCTTCAGATAGCGATATTCACGAGTTAACTGAAGATGTTCACTAACGGTCTGTCGCCCTGAGCAGGACGTCCCACTAACACATGTGCGACTATTATTGCTTGCGTTGATCAAAGCTTCGTCTTCTTCGATTGTAGTAGGAAACAACGATAGCACCTCCAGACACCGCACACCCACAGCAATCTTGCCCACTAGCAACGACCAAGTTGAGGCGTCCGCAATCTCGGACACTGTCACAAACTCCTCCCAACAAGGATGCCCCTCCACTACAGGATGTTGGGATAGCTCTCTTATGTGGCTCTTCATACACGTGAAGAAGCTTCGAAGACCCACGTTTAGGGTCTGGTTACTACTCACTCCTGTGCTAAGGGAAGATTCCTTAAATTTAGTGGTAGCTAATATAGTCTGATTTAACTGCAGCGTGTTGTTGACAACAGATTCAAACAATGCAATTAGGCTTGGGTCTGTTATGCCTGCAAAATAAACTGTTGGACCTGGCTGGAAAGGAATGTATTGATACCCCATATCCGCCCATAAATTGACAAGATGCCACCACTCTCGATTTAGGCTTGCGCCTCGTCCTGAAACGTTCTCCAATGCATCTTTAGCCAGTTTCCATTGTTCCTCCCACCGTAGCCTCTTGCAAGAAGCCAAAGATCGAGGATTCACGGAATGTTTGCAGCTTGTGGTCCATGTATCGAGAAACCATCTAACACCATCCTGCATTAGAATTGATCAAAACATGAGAAGAATTTGCAAGTACATACAGGTCTAACACAAATATAAATCTCCTGCGTCAACTGCTGTCACAAGAGAACTAAATATTCAATCCTCTCCACATTTAGATAAACCAGATCAAACAAAGTATGCTCAGCATGAAACAGAAGATGCACGTGAATCATCTCACCTCATATGAAGCGAAAATTCCAGCTACATCAAAAGGATTATCCTTTAGTACAAAACCTGAAGTCAAGGTACTGTTAGATTCACGTCAATCTTGAGACGGCATTAGCAACAGCAAAACACTTTAAGTGGAGGAGCTACAGACTAGCACACAAGAACCTGCAATGCTGAAGACATACATTCGTTAAGGTGATTCATTTTTTAGATGACAATTAAGATAAATAAAAGGTAAAAAATTTGCCAACAGACTTACATTGCTCTGGAGAACTACACTACATAAAACCTTGGAAGCACAGAACGAAAATAATAAATGAGCATAAAATTTGTAGAGATCAACTGATGTTCTCACCATAATAAAGAAACAGATTATCGTTGGCTCTAGGACCGAAGGATGCAAACAATTCTTCACCCTTCTTAATGTCTCGTCTTGCAACTATCTCAACCTTGCCGCCCCAGATTGGTTGCGACATCCAGTCAGCCTGAAAAATCATGTGCAAGCAATCAGACTACTTGCACACAAATGACAAGCAACTTTCAGATCAATAGAGTTTTAAAAGAGATAACCTGATAGTGGTAATGATGATTAATCATGTCCATATACGGCATCATCACATATGGGGCATAATGATCGTCAGCAAAGACAGGAAGAGTAAATGCTCGGCTGTGAACCATCATTGCTGCCCATCCTGTCAAAAACAGAAAAATGATACAATGATAGTCAGGGTCACAAAAATATACACAGACTTCAATATAGAACTCAGAGTAAAACAATAAAAAAGCTCAAAATAAGAACTATGAGCCAAGCAGAGACAACAAGACAAAAGTTTCCATGACATCACGTACTGTACTCTTCAAAATCTGCTCCAGCAAGGTCATCAACGCTCAACAAAGAAAAACTTTCTCGAATGGATTTTCTCACTTGCACAAGCTCTCGCAAAACTGGCCACCATTGCACCTCATGCAGTTCCTGCACCGCAGTAAAGCACTATTTACTTGTCTCCAGACATGAAGCTTGTTCTCATGTGATCAAATTGATATCACACTCAAATAAATACTCGGATTGAATCGGATAGATGAGTGCAAAGATTAATCGGTCTAGAGGAGAATAATTATGAACTCAAAGTTTTGATTACAGTCTAAAATGCATAACATAAATACACTCAATAAAATTAAAATTGGTTCTAATTAAGCAGACCATGTATAGCTCATTATATACTCTGGAGAGCTTAAAAAGAGATACGTCAAACTTCTATGCTCATGCTCTAATTCACTCAAGCAGCTTTTAGTCACGTTTACGCAGGTGCACAAACAGACCCTCAAGTATCGTTTTTTCCATACGCAGCATATCCTCAACATTCTCAGTCTCTATATCTTTGTCAAAATGACAGATACCGGAAGAGCTGCTCAAGTAATCAACAATTACACAACCAAGTTAGCTTGGATATGAAAAATTTACATGGTCCTCGAGCAGAATCGGAACAGTCATGTTCTGTGGAAGAATGTTAATATAGGACGCCCATGCTGAAGAGCTACCCTTTGCCCTGATGAACAAACCAGCCAAATGTGTCTAAATGCACGAAAAGGACAACGTATAATGTGTCGAAATAACAAATAAAACATTCATATGAACCGATATTTGTGAGATATCACGTACTTTTCTCGCAGTAACCGGGCAGCTGCCCGGTCCCAGCTATCAACTTCTCCTGCAACTATAGTCTCATTGTCATACAATCCCATATCTAACTGGTGAATGACATCAAAAGTACAACACGTCAGTACTTCAGTCTATGGATGCAATAGCAGCAGACTGAACAACCACATGAAATATTCCAGTGAAAGATACTCCTGTACGAGAAAGGGTCCTTACCGGCAAGTTGCATAAAGTTTCCCCACGTCTGATGTTCTTCAAAACTACCACACCTCGCACAAGCTTTCCATCTCCAGCTAGTAGATGCGTTATTGAAAGCTTCTCTGAAATTGAGAATCCATTCCCTTCCATCCAGCTAACAAACTGCATACATGTATCAGCACTAACATGAGTTCGTAACAAACCCTTACTGTTAACATTCTACAACTTTCAAATTTTTATTCTGAACTTGACATAAAGCATCCTGAGTGCTGCAATATTTTATGAGGAACTTCTAGGCTCCTCCAAATAACGAGTGGTAAGTGCCATTCATAAGCATATTTCCAACAATTCAAGAACAACATTCTCAGTAGCAACACAAATAACTGATACTCAAACCACAAAATGCTAGATGTGACATAAAACTCAGCATATAATTGATTGAAGAACTACTGATACAAGAACACTGGGGTCAGAAAAGTGACTTCAGACATTAGCATACACAAGCCCTGAATAGTCACATCCTTTGAAGAGAAGCAATCCTTAATAGTTAGAGCCCTTTATATTTACAAGAAAACTTGAGGCCAACAGGAGGCTAGACGCAACAAGCGCTGATTTGGAAAAGAATGCCTCAAGATGACTTGGAATATAGATGGTGTACTGCCTTAACCCTGAACTTTGCTTGTGCACAAAAAGAGAATGGATTACAAATACCTGATCTGTTGTGTCTGTGCCATTCTGATGGACGACATTAGAAGGGGCTATATTTTCCTCAACATCCAGACAAGACAGGTGAGAAATTAATATCTTAAGAACACCCTTGCGATACAGTCGATATGAAACAGCAAGGTAGTCGTTGAAGCTCATCTCCTCAATTTGCCAACGGCAAGATGGACAGCCGGACTCACTAATTCCCAAGCCTCCAAATCCATCCCATTCAGCTGCAGCTAAAAAGGCTTTATCTTCTTCTGCTGTAGTTGATGTACACATCAATCCGTGAATTCGCTCCTTGATAGCTCTTAATGCCGAGAGTGTTGAGTTGCTAAATTTATCATCAAATCCCATAATCCTCTCGCAATCAAGAGTACTGATTCTAAGAAAGCTTCTAACCATAGTATTCATGTCCCTTTCCCACTGTGTGCCTATCATGTTGTTCATATTTGTAATGTCCATGTTCTCTCTCCCTACTTCTCTGGCAAGGAGTTCCTTCGCATAGAAAAGACTTCCAAGTAAACAAAGTATTCGAGGATTCACGCTACCATCCAATCCCAGAATAAAAAGTCCGTCACCGCTCAGATCTGTGGTTGTCATAGGTGACATGAGCTGGTTTTCAAAAGCAACCTTCGCATCTTGAACAACTCTCAAAGTCAAGTACTTATTATTATTGAGAGCACCATATGAAGTCACATACCAGTCCACCAGATCCTGAAGCCAATAAGAAGTTCTCTCATCAATCTGACTAAAGGATAATAGCACATAGAATCAAAAACTTTGACAAGATAGCAAAGATTCATTTAACAAGGAGTCAAGAGTTTAGTAACACAATGCTTACCAGAAGGCTGCTGAAAAGGAGGACATTGATGAGTTTGCTGTCTACTATACCTGCCAAAGGTAAGAAAAAAACCAGAGATATTACATGATATACTTATGCTGCAACTTCCTACTGAGACTGGCTTTTAGATAGAAATCAATTAAGGAGCTTCGCCAGAATTTCTTCACAGAAACATATCATTACAAGAGGTAATTGAAAACACCTACCACGAAAGATAAAAAGATCACTTGAGTTGTTGTGGTCGTATGACATAGATAAGAAACTATGCTCTGGAATATTCTCAATTGCTTGCAAACGTATGCTTCCATCCGCAATAACAGCAGTCACTGTATCAAAACAAGCAAAGTTAAATAGTAACATCCATAGCTTAACAACTGTCCAAGAAAGTTATTCAACAGAAAGTCAAATGAATCATGCAAGTTCATACAACAACCAACGGCACTGACAATGTCAGGAAGCAAGTAATGAACAATAATTACCTTTGGAATTTGGCTCAAAAGAAAAACTGACAAATGGAACCAATACATGGTGTATGGTACCCTGGACAATTATTCGGCAAGCTGAACTGTAGGTTACTGCCATAGCCCATGCTGCATGCAAAATTTCGGCACACATAATACCTTAGAATTAAGCAGCTACTAGGCAATTTAGTACAAAATATCTTAATAATCAACGACTTCAGGAATGCTAGTTCATTCTGTCGTTGATGATAGTCTTCAAACCAAAACGGTATAATCATTCCGGCCCGGTATAAATCTCGTATATCATAATCGCAACAATTTTGATTCGATCTGAGGCATGATTCAAAGTAAGCTTAAGGTTTTTGTGTACCATATTCGGTAAACTTAGATCCAGCCACTTCTTCCGGAGTCAAAGATTGAAATGTCGATTCTATGAATCTCCTCAAACGTTGAACTTCATCTTGCACGGAAGCATCTTGAATATTATTCAATTCCTGTATCAAAGATTTAATGAACAAAATACTTTTTGCTTATGGTTAAAATACTTCTTGTTTACATAGATAATTGTTTAAAAAACAATTTGAACATGCAGACGTTCAATAAACGTTAGTGTCTAAGAAATTTTAAACAACCACCAGCAACTGTGAAAATCACCACGATGAACCCAGTCAAGATGTGACATACCAGATCCGTAAAGAATAGAGGAAGAAAAATGAAATCTGGTAGTGCCTTAATATAGGGGTCCCACCTAGACCCGCTGCCTTTGGCTCTGCCACAAGATCAACTCACCACATAAGTTCAGTTTTGATATAGAAATTCCCAGAAGTTCGATTCCACAATGTGCATGCAATTGAAAGATTGAAGACATCAAAAAGGCTACACATTACTAGTCAAGAGATTAGAGGCATGCCTTTCGTGAAGAAGTATGGAGGCAAGGCGCACCTCCCATGGAGCATCTTTAAGCGAAGGGATCGATTCAGAGGCGAATACATCAGACAACCATGAATCCAGCTGCCAAGACCAAATAACATCTCAAACAAGGTGCGATCCAAATAAGTTTACACTTAATGGACTCTCCTTAAAAACAACTATTGCAAGAATGTGGACATACTCAAATCACCAGTCGCCAACAAGCCATGTCAAGTGAGGCATGTTAAAATTGTACAACACAAATAGCAATCCGTACTCGGACCCCGTTGTACATCTTGTACTGTATACGAGGAAGATTCCATCCAGAGTGTTACAGATTTTCCATAAATGAAGCTTCTCACCTGAAGGTCAAGGAGAACATCTCCATTGTTCAAAGACTTCGCGGCAAACGCAGCCAAAGCCAAGGGAATTTCTGCTCATAACAGACATCACAACGCCATGGTTTCTTATATGACGAAAAAGCCATTTACCAGCAATATTTTTAATTGCAAAGATGTAGACATCATGAACAAGAAATATTGAACGGAGTACCTTCAGACTTAAAACCAGGCCTTTCGATGGGGGTGATGGAGAAGTTTCGAGGATGAGAAGGGTGAGAGTGTTGATGTAGCCAGTTAACAAACTGTAGGGAGCCAAACAATAAAAAAAAAAAAAACAAGGTGAATAGAGATAATCTAAGATAGAGAAAGGAAAAGAGCAAACGGGAAGAGAACCCTACCTGTCGGGAGACGGAGTCCAAGAGAGTAAAAGACGGAGGAGCAGGTGGGGGCGGGAGGCGGCCAAGTTGGGACCAACGGGCAGATGACAGGGAAGCCACATTTTTAGAACGGAGGCGGGAGGCTAGCCAGGCATGTGCAGATGGAGTCCGATGAGAGTAAAGCGGAGCGACGCAATTACAGGACGATAATGGCAACAGGAGAGCGAGGCAGATAAAAGAAAAAATGGCTTTGGAGGTCGACGCCATTTTCAGATTCAGTCGACTGTATTTGCTCCTCGGCAGATGAAGAGGATCCCTTTTCTGATCCGGTCTGCTAAAGAACTTTACTTGAAATTTCCATGCCTTCGTATCACCACTTGAACGCCAAAACACGTCACAGGCAATTATCAATCGATGACATTATTATAACTCCTTGTGCAGGAAAATAGATAACAATTAACGTTATGATTCTCCTAGCTCAAGCCCCAGTAGCTGTGCGTACAGCACAGAATTACTATGTTTGTAAGGCATCACTTTGAATCGACGAAGGAGAGGGAGGTGCGCAAACTCCACAACAGATGCACTGCAAGCAACAGATGAAATCATCAACATCTACACAATAAGGATCAGATCGCAAATACTGCAAGCGTGGAGGTGTCACACAGAATTGAACAAGATGTCGATAATTAGACCATAACTCGCCACCTAAAAACGTTGCAATGTGTATAATTGCCACTCATGAGAAACAAGATCGCAAACCCCTTGTACTCAACCTTCTAGAATCAGGATTAAAAACGGAAGACGTGCGACACTGCTAAACCCTGATTCCAGAATCATGGTCCGTCGCACCATGAATTGAACCCAGTAGCTTTCGAGCGAGCCTTAGAACTTATCATCAGGACAAACTCCACATTCAATTTCCCCTCTAACTTTGATGATCACTACTCCTAAAACACCTGAAGGTTATCTTTCATTCATATTCAGCAGCAACATTCAGTTTCTGAGGCTCTACACTAGACGGCAACAAAGCTTCTCAAAGGGTGATGCAACCCGTTTTCGTATCAAATTATGTATCTTGATAAATACGAGACAGGGTTGATGGGGCAATAATTATACTTTATACTTGAGCTTCTTAAATCATATTAGAGGCAATTCAAAAATGAAATGCTGCTCTTCTACTCCAAAATATGTAAGGTCTACAAACATCAACCGCAGCAATTGAGAGTGAGAGAAAGAAAAAAAGAAAGGGAGAAAAAGAAAAGAAAAAAGAAAAAAGAAAACTCGTAATGAGGACCAGTTGCGTCAAATAAGCATCAATTCAGTGCATAGTCAACTAGAGATCATGCATGCATTGCGCCTGTGACCAACGATAGATTAGCTCGTGAGGAGTTTAAAACCTCTGGATTCTGTACAATAATCCAGCAGCGCTCTACACCGACAAAAGCAATTCTAACATCTGGAAAATATAACGAAGATCACGGTACATGACAGAATCACCAGCACCGGAGAAGTCGCGTGATTCGTAGGATAGTACGACAATGGAAGTAAGCAAAAGATTGTGACAAGCGGAGACAGAGGGGAAGGAGGGATGCGAGAGGAGAAGAGAGAAGGGGAGACAAACCCGAGCGAGAGAGAGAGAGAGAAAACAGTGCAAAGAAGGCAGAGGAAGTAAACAGAATGCAAAGAAAGGCAACAAAAGGAGGAAGACAAGCAGAGGCAGAAATAACGCAAGGAAAGAACAAACCCAAGCAGCGGGCCTGCCGTGCCAGGGACAAGATGCAGCACAGCCCCAGAGGAAGAGCAGAACTGCACGAGGATGCAGGATGAAGATCCAGCGGAAGAAAAGGAGGACGAGGAGGAGGAATTGGATGCCCACCGAAAAGCGAAGCAGCAGCAGCAGAGGCGAGGAGACATTGCAGGAGGAGCACGCGGCGAAGGAAAAGTTACGCAGTCCGAGCCTTCGAACCTCTCCCTCCCGGACAGACGAACGGACGAACGAACGAACGAACGGAGACGCGGACGGGGGTTGGACGGGTGCAGCATCGCACCCGCGCTCATGGCCTGGCCAGGTGGGGTGGAGTGGCAGGAAAAGCCGGCGGGAAAGAGACGGAACCGGGAGTTATCGGAGCAGAACAGAAACTTTTAACTATTGTAATACCACAATTATGAATAAAAAGCTACTTAAAATATATATATATATATATACATATATATGTTAAAAAAATTAAAATATAAAAGATACATTAAAAACTTACATGTTCAAGATTTGTTAATTTTATGTTAATTAAAATATAAATGATACCATTATAGATCTAAATTTTTTGCAATACATCAAGATGATATCTTTTTATTTAAAAATGTATAATTTATAAATAAAGTTATCAATTTTTATAATATTTTATGATATTAATCTTAAAATATCTAATCTTGTATAAATTTTATATTCTTATAATCTAAAACTTTTAAAAAAATGATAGATTTAATTTGCAAGCTTTATAAAAGTAAAGATTAAAAAGAAATTTAGATTATTTTAAATTTTTTTATTATTTTAGAAATATTTATTAGAAAGATTAATAAAAAAAATTATTTAAATAAATTTTTAAATACTTAATTTGATTTTAGTTAGCTAAAAAGAATACATACAGAATTTGTATATAATATTAAGCACAAGAACTCAAAGAATATAAATAAATAAGTAAGATATTTCTCAAAAAAAGATAGAAAATATGAAATAAAGAAATATGTATATTCAAGAAAAAACTTAAATGGCTATTGCAAAAGACTAGAAAATTAGAGATTTTTTAAACTAGACTATAAGCCAAAAAAGAATTAAAAAGAATAAAAAAGACTTCATTCTTGCTTCTATATATACTATTTAACTAGGAGCTATATAATAACGTTTTATAAGACCTCTAATATGAGTCCAAGTTACAAGATATAAGTCTAACTTGCAAGACAAGTTTTGTACATGTGTACTACATAATCCACTTGTATCATTAGTCACTAATATGTGCAACATGTAACCAACTTGTTAGCCAAGTTTTTCACCTATCAATCATGTATAATTATGTAAAAAGTCATATCCATATCTATAATGCTTCTAAGAAGCTCTTCCATAGGTTATTATCAAATATATGGAGGTATATGATTGTCACGGACATATGCATGTAAGCCAATAATTACATGTATAAATAGGTAGAAGTAAGTAAAAGTAGATAAAAGTAAGTTAATTCTATAATATTTGCTATGGAAGCTTCTTAGAAGGCTCATAGATGTTGCATTGACTTTATAGGTGTCTTTAATTGACTTTTTGGATTAGAAACGTGGTCAACAAGTTGGCCATGTGCCACACATGTTGTTAGCTTGAAGACCAAGCTAACTATGTGGCGTGGAAAAACTTAGAAAAATACATGTAGAAAAACTTGCCTTGTAAGTCAAGGCATGTGTCCTACAAAGTCAACACATATTAAAGGTCCTATAGAACATCAGGATGTAGCTTTTAGTTAGATAGTATATATAGAGACAAGAGTGAAGCCTTCTTCACTCTTGTCAACTCCTTTCTTGCTTTTAGTCTAGTTTCAAGGGTCTCTAGTTTTCTTGGCTTTTGGCAATAGCCATTCCAGTTTCTTTCTTAATATACATTTCAAGTTATTTCTATTTTGTCATCTTTTTTTGAGAGAAGTCTCACTTGTTTATTTATTTTTATCATGTTCTTGTCCTTAACAGATTGATAAGAGTACACTTACAATATGAAAGCTTTGTCTAATCTTGATTAAAAGTGGATTACTCTTTTCTCTTGATAAGACATAAGCATATTAGAAGTTGCGGATTACCCTCTTCTAAACTAATATTATCTTTAGTATTTCCTTTGTTCTCAAGTCCTCTCTTCTATTTGTCTTAAGTGATATTCAACATCTTTTTTTTTCTAAGTGTTATCATGGCAGAACTTGCTGAAATGAAGAGTGCAATGGCATAAATGCAAGAGCAATTGAGGGAGTTAATGCTTGCAATGCATCAACTCAATTTACCACGTCAAAGAGCAACAAGATTGGCAGGAAAAGAAGATATAGAAATGATTGGAGCTGCTTCAACATCTGTACCAAATCATGTCCCTTCTCCTATCATGGAACGCCCTTCCAATGTTAGAGAACCAAGAATTGCCCTATTTGAGAAGTTTAATGGTACCAAATCAAAGCTTAGAGAATTTATTAATCAAGTACAACTTGCAATTGAACTTCAATCCCAAAGCTATCCAACTTCAAGATCGCAAGTTAGATTCATTAGTACGCTTCTTTCAAGTTCAGCACTATCATGATTTTTCATCTTTTCCTGAATGACGAGATCCAATATTGGATAATCTAGAGGCTTTTTTGGTGGAGTTTCGATCTATGTATGGAGAACATGATGTAATTCATATTGCAACCAATAAGATCCATATTTTGCAACAAGTCAATCGATCAGTAATGATATATGCTTTATAATTTTGATAACTTGCAACTGATATCAAGTAAAATGATGCTGCACTTATTAGCCAATTTCTCTATGGATTATAATATGAGGTAAAAAAAATTAATGCTCAACTTACCTAATCCTCAAATATTGAGCTAAGCAATTGACTTTGTTGTGAAGTGCAACAATTGTCTTTTTGAATTCCGATCTGAGAACCATACAAGTGGTCCTCAACGTTACTATAATTCAATGGCAACACCAACATCTCTTCAACACATACATTTGAAAGAAGAGGATATGCAAATTGATGCGGTACGTTTCAAAGCTCTTACTGAGCAAGAAAAGACTCGTCGTTATCGGGAAGGATTGTGCTTATATTGTGGAGAACCTAAGCACACTGCTCAACATTGCTCAAAGAAGCAACATAAGCATAAAATGAGGAGTACTGTGATCAAAAAAGATAGCATGTCGGAAAATAAATTTGTCCAACTATAATAGGGATCGTGCGGCTGGAACCTTGTACAACACCTAGTGAAGGTCCTATCCTCTGCTCAGAATCCTCTCTATGTTTTACGATAAATATTATTCTAGGACCTAAACATCTCAAAGCCTGTGCCTTGCTAAATTCAGGAGACTCATCATGTTTCTTAGATGAAGAATTTGCTAAAAAATATAGCATATTTTTAATGAAGAAAACTAAACCTATTCATGTAGAAGTCATAGATAGTCGTCTGTTGTCTTCAAGAGATGTTACTCATGAAATCCTTCCTATAGAAATAACAACTAATGGTCATAATAGCTTTGTAATATTTAATATCTTTAGATCTCCTTTTAATCAAGTCATTTTAGGTTTCTCATGGCTAAAAAATATAATCCTAAAATAGATTGGACTTCTCGTAGTCTTGACTTTTTTGAAAGTATAACTAAGAGCTTAGTTAATCAAGTAGAAAGTCATAAGTCTAGTATAATTAAACTTGTATTTGTAGATGCAAGAACTTTCTTACATGCTGCAAAAGAATGATCATCTTGTGTCATTTATGCCACACTTGTTTCTACTGGTGGAAAGACTTCAAGTAGCATTCCAAGCCAATATCAAGATTTTTAAGATGTATTTGAGAAAAAGAATGTGGATACACTTCCAGAACATTGTTCCTATAACTGCTCAATTGACCTTCAAGAAGGAGCACAACCGCCATTTCGACCAATCTACAATTTATTTCAAAATGAGTTAGCTGAACTCAAGGAGTATATTGAAGAGAATTTAGCAAAGAACTTCATATGCCATTTCAAATCTCCAATAGGAGCTTCAATTCTATTTGTGAAGAAAAAAGATGGGTCATTGCAGATGTGTGTTGATTATTGAGGACTCAATAAAATCACTATCAAAAATATGTACCTGCTACCTTTGATATCTAGACTCTTTGATCAGTTGAATTAAGGTAAGATCTATACAAAAATAGATCTACGAGGAGCATACAATCTAGTACACATCAAAGAAGGAGATGAATAGAAGATTGTATTTCAAACAAGGTATGGATATTTCGAATATAACGTCATGCCTTTTGGACTTATAAATGCACCAGCAACATTCTAACATCTAATGAATGATGTCTTATGGAAGTTTTTAGATGATTTTGTTGTTTGTTACCTAGACGACATCTTAATCTATTCTAAGAACCCAGAAGAACATAAACTTCATGTTCGTCATGTATTACAAAAACTAAGAGATGCGGGGCTCTATGCCAAGATAGAAAAGTGTGTATTTCACACTACTCAAGTTGACTTCTTAAGATACATCATTTAAAATGATGGACTTATGATAGATCCTAAGAAAGTTCAAACTATTATGGATTGGAAGATCCCAAAAACGGTAAGAGATGTCCAATGCTTTTTGGGATTTGCCAACTACTATCGGATCTTCATCAAAGACTTTTTTCAAGTTGTACATTCACTTATACATTTGACTTGTAAAGACAAACTTCAATAGAATCAAGAAGCAAAAGTAGCATTCGAAGCTTTGAAGACATCCTTTGTTTCTGCACCAATCTTGTATTGCATCAATTTTTCTAAGCCATTTTTTATAGTAACAGATGCATCAGACTTTGCTTTGGATGCCATATTGTCATAAATAGGAATAGATGATAAACTTCATCCAATAGCATTTCATTCTAAAAAATTTTCAACAGCCGAGATCAACTACGAGATCCACAATAAAGAACTTCTTGCAATCATGGATTCATTTCAAGAATGGCGCTATTATCTAGAAGGTGCTTCTAGTCCAGTCACAGTATACACGGATTATAAGAACCTTGAATATTTTATGTCAACACGTATTTTGAATCGTTGCTAAGTCCGTTGAAGTATGTCTTTGTCAAGATTCAAATTCAACATCACTTATCGACGAGAAAAACAACAAGGTTT